ACTCCTTGCATAAACATATAGTTTAGAATAAGGGAGTCATTTCAAAGTAAAGAAGGGCATTTACCAGCCTGAGCAAGAGCGAGACCCCGTCTCTACTAAAATTAGAAAGAAATTAATCGGACAACTAAAACTATATAGAAAAAATTAGCCAGGCATGGTGGCGCATGTCTGTAGTCCCAGCTACTCGGGAGGCTGAGGCAGGAGGATCGCTTAAGCCCAGGAGTTTGAGGTTGCTGTGAGCTAGGCTGATGCCGCTGCACTCTAGCCCGGGCAAAAGAGTGAGACTGTCTCAAAAAAAAAAAAAGAAGGGCATTTAACTTTCTATTCATTCTGGGGACTAGACTGTGAATAAAGATGGAGCCATATCTTAAACTATGATAATTTTTTCTCCTCATTCAGGTATGGAAAAAGTTTTTTCACAAGTGTTAATACCAGAAAAAGTTTTAAGTCTGTATAACACAATACAGTATTTTTAGAGAATGACTGTCCAGGAAAAAAGCAATGAAATGAGCAAAAGGTCCTATGTTGTGCTCGACTGCTTTCTTAGTAAGTACAAGGAGCTTATCAGAATGAGTGCTAATAAAGAAATCTTGTTTTAAAAATGGAATGAAGAAACCCAGAAAATTAGTTTATTAAAAAGCTTTAATGCAAAAGCCAACAGATTAAAGGGCCTGTACTTTGAGTAATTTAAATAGTTTGGGCAGCAAAAGAACTTCTCCAGAAGTCTTATTTAAGTGCAGTCTAATTATGTGTTTTGAAAATGTTTTCATATAAATGAATACACAGAAAAAAAGTTCTTCACCAAGCCAGAGACCTCATTAAGGTAGAAAATATGGTTTTCTAGTTATAATGGGAACACTTAACACCTAATTGGGTCTATATGCTTTAAAATTACCCTGGGCACATAAGGCTTTGTCCAGATGACAAAGGAAATTTATACTTCCTTCATTTCATGAATGACCATGTATGTTCCTGAATCCATGGTCACTCTCAGATCTATCTGAAGCTTGGTTCTTATAGTGGGATTCTTAAATTCAAGTTAATTTGTAAAGATAAAAAGTTTTAAAAACTTAACTTGTATTACTGGGTATAATTCCACGCCTTCGGGGTTGGGGCAGGGGTGGGGGGGGCACTAAACTTGTAAATTCTGCTTAGCTTCTCTTGCAACAATTCCCCTCCATTTTCTCAACAAAATTTAAATTCTTCTAATTTGCATTTCCCTGATAATTAGTGATGTTGAGCATTTTTTTCATGTTTTTTTGGCCATTTGTCTATATTCTTTCAAAAAACTTCTGTTCATTTCTTTTGTCCACTTTTTGATGGGGTTGTTTGGCATTTTTCTTGATTTGTTTGAGTTCTTTGTAGATTCTAGATATCAGTCCTTTGTCAAATGTATAGTTTGCGAACATTTTCTCCCATTCTGTAGGTTGTCTGCTCACTTTGTTGATTATTTCCTTTGCTGTGCAGAAGCTTTTTAATTTAGTTAAGTCCCATTTATATATTTTTGTTGTTGCAATATTTGCCTTTGGGGTCTCAGTCATAAATTCTTTGCCTAGGCATTTGATCCAGCAAGCCCACTGCTGAGTATCTACCCAAAGGAAATGAAGTCATTTTATCAAAAGGACACTTGCACTCAAATGTCTATCACAGCACAATTCACAATTACAAAGATGTAGAATCAACCAAAGTGCCCTTCAATTCATGAGTACATTAAGAAAATGTGGGCCGGGCGCGGTGGCTCTCGCCTATAATCCTAGCACTCTGGGAGGTTGAGGAGGGAGGATAGTTTGAGCTCAGGAGATTGAGACCAGCCTGAGCAAGAGCGAAACCCCTTCTCTACTAAAAATAGAAAGAAATTGGCTGGACAACTAAAAATATGTAGAAAAAATTAACCGGGCATGGTGGCGCATGCCTGTAGTCCCAGCCACTCGGGAGGCTGAGGCAGAAGGATTGCTTGAGCCCAGGAGTTTGAGGTTGCTGTGAGCTAGGCTGACGCCACAGCACTCTAGCCCCAGGCAATAGAGTGAGACTCTGTCTCAAAAAAAAAAAAAAAAAAAAAGATTAAAAAAATAAAGAATATGAAGAGATACTATAAGACTACACCTATTTTAACATTAGCTAATAAGATTAGTTAAAAAAAAAAAAGAGCAAAATAAGTAGCCTTCAGAAAAGTAATAGCACACAACATTTGCTGAATGGTAAAGCATTGTAGTTCGATACTGCAGTGGGTATGCATTATTTAGGTGCGAGTTTTAGCCAAAGGGAATACCCTTGGGAGATGATGAAACTGAAAAAACAAAAAAGTCTAAGTATAAAGTGTTTCCTGATAAAGATAAAATGGCTAAAAAAACCTTTAATGCAGTTCTGAAAATACTTAATTGTCTAGACTTGACCCATGTGCAGAAAAGGGTGCTCACCACTGGCATATACTAGGATTGGAGAAAACAGAAATGATGTGGGAAAAGATGTGGCCAAGAATGGTTCATTGTTTCAGGCCTCAGAAATTTGAGGAAGAGTAATAGTATGGGATGTAGTAGGAAGGATTATCAGTTTACGACAATGTCAGTGGAGCAGCTTAAAACAGAAAAGAATGAATTTTCACATTGAGTAGGCCCTTAAAACAAGATCTAAAAAGTTTACTTGGTGAGAATAACATTAAGTTAAGGTTTTTGAGCAGTTTTGATAAATTGAGTACAAAGGGCACTTTACACTACTACATACTTCACAACTTCACAGAAACTGCCCCAAATTGTACTTAATCAGTTCTCTCAAGAAATGTATATGATTAGTGAGTTGAAGCTACTTAGGTTAGGTTAATTCAGGTGTAAAAAGTGTTTGTTTATTGATTTAGTTATTTGAACCCCAAAAGGGCTTCCATAGGGACACTAAAAAAAATACCTGTTCAATGAGGTATAGGTTGCACAGTGGCTTGAGGAATCTCAGGCCATATCCAGGTCTCTGGTATCAACTACCAATGTCTTGAAAACAGTTAGGCATGGTGGTATCTGCACCAGTTAATTATTTCTTTCTTTTTTTTTTTTTTTGAGACAGCGTCTCACTCTGTTGCCCTGGAGTCAGCCTAGCTCACAGCAACCTCAAACTCCTGGGCTCAAGCAATCCTACTGCCTCAGCCTCCCGAGTAGCTGGGACTACAGGCATGCGCCACCATGCCCGGCTAATTTTTTCTATATATTTTTAGTTGTCCAGATCATTCCTTCCATTTTTTAGTAGAGATGGAGTCTCACTCTTGCTCAGGCTGGTCTTGAACTCTTGACCTTGAGCGATCCACCCGCCTCGGCCTCCTAGAGTGCTAGGATTACAGGCGTGAGCCACTGTGCCCGGACTGCACCAGTTAATTATTTCTTTACTTTAGCACAAATTAAAAAGTCAACTAAATTATTACAGAACAAGAGTACATTATGCTTCTGAGCAAAAGAAAAACAAATCTAAGTTGAGCAATTTTCTAAAATATAATATTATACAGTGTATATGTTATATGTACTATAGTATATATGCTAATTTAGTATAGATATCCTGTGAACATTTCTTACGGGCTTGAGAATAAATAACTACAAAACCTCAGTTTTTATTTCTGTTAAAAATGAAAGTTTCATATCACATGAACTCTTATTAAGGAGATCTATCATTGTTTCTAACTCAAAAGAAAATGATAGCTTGCTTGCTTTAACTCTAAATGTTACTATTTGCTCACAAATACCTAAAGAAAAAGAGAGCTGCTTACTTACACAGTCTAATTAAATTCATAAAGAGCAAAACAGAAAGGTTCTTTTCTCCTTTACAAATTGAATTCAATATTTTTAAAATATTTTGACAGAAGTCCACTGCTTATTAGCCCAGTGATGTCTGACCACAGCTAGAATATAGCTAAGCAGTTAAATGCCTTGATATTTTTTCTAATTCCATTTTCCTTTCTCTCTAAAGCTTCCTTACATCAAAGAAGAGACTTTTAGAGATGATTCTGAGTTTAATGCTTATAGAACGTCACAACAGAATTGATCCCGATTGGCCGGGCGCAATGGCTCATGCCTGTAATCCTAGCACTCTGAGAGTCTGGGGCGGGAGGATTGCTTGAGCTCAGGAGTTCCAAACCAGCCTGAGCAAGAGTGAGACCCCATCTTTACTTAAAATAGAAAAATTAGCCAGGCGTCGTGGTGTGTGCCTGTAGTCCCAGCTACTCAGGAGGCTGAGGCAGAATGACTACTCGAACCCAACAGCTTGACATTGCAGTGTGCTAAGGTAATGCCACTGCACTCTACCTGAGAGTAGAGACTCAGAGACTCTGTCTCCAAAACAAAAAAAGGAAATTAAACAAAAAAACCCTGATTTACAAAATGAATTCCTTTATAGGCAGTCTTGTAAATTATCACCACAGAAATTATGGGTTAAAGACACAGGTAGAAGTCACAATTTCTAGTTCTGACACTGGCAAGAATCTAGCTGTGTAACCTTGAATAAGTCACTTATCCTCTTTCGTTCTGAACTTCCTCATCTACAAAATAAAGAGACAAACATGTTGGTTGCTAACTAAGGTCCCTTTCAATGTCTAAATTCTATCTGTCCCTTCTCTGACTGAACAAGAGGAAATTTAAAAATCAAAATACAAAAAACAAGACAGAAAACAACAAAAAACCCCTAAAATTATTGCTGCTTGTCTAACAATTGTTATATAAAGGTCTACTATGGCAGTTTATACTATTTACAAGGTCACAAGTTAGAAAGGCTCGTTACTAAAGTACATAATTCAAGTGGCTTCGATGTCAGAATTTTCACGTAAAGATGATCCAAACACCATTGAGCTGCAGTGGAAAAGTACTAGCCTGGGAGTCAGGTTTAAACTTGGTTCAAAGGCTTTTCTTAGTTAACTTCACATCTCTTGGTCTCAATTTTCTTAGGTGTAAAATGACACAGTTGCACTATATTACATCTAAAACCTTTCCTAAAACCAAAACTCTGTGTCTAAGTGATTATTCTCAACCTACCCTTTTGTAATGCATTGTTTCCAAAAACAGCTTGGTCTGTTTATAGATTTCTTGGCCTGTCTTGTGGAAGGTCTTGAGAAATTCTATGAACTCCTTAGACACTCTATCCGTTTCAATGCTGGTTTGCCGGTTTATGGAAGGACTGGGAGCTTTTGCTTCCTGAATTTCTGCTGAGAAAATTAAACATAATAAGTTTCATCATATAAAAGATCCATGCATGGAATTACTTTAAGTATCTAACTTAAGATTATTTAAATTATGTTTACTCAAAGTTAAACTTAAATTTAAATCATTTTATGTTTAAATGTTTGGACAACTTTCCTAAAAGTAAGCTAAATCTATTTTACAAGTAGACAAAAACTGCACGCCCTAAAAGATATTCCTATTCAAACAGAAGTTGCTCTATTAGTATTTTCTTAGCCAAAATACATCATGCTTTGGTCTATGTATTTAATCATTAGTACTGAAATGGCACTGCTATCTTGAACAACTTTCTCAAAGATTGCCTGAGTTTATAAAAATAGTCAACAAATAACAATCAGTAAAAGCACAAAACGTTAGATGGCTTATAAAAAAAATTTTAGACAACCTTTCCAAATTCCATTTTACTTGCCAAAAAGGCAAAGGCTAATTTGTGTGGAGACTCAGTTATTTACCGACCATTCAGTTTGTAAGTCACACTGGTCAAAGTAAAAGAATGCATCCGAAGTAGCAGGGAACATGACAGAGTATACATTAGAGAGATAATGGAAGCCAATAATACACATCCAATCAGTTGGACATATAGCTTTCCCCTCTTCGAATAAATACACCGAAAGGAAAATGGGTGTAGTAAGACAGTAAGTACTTTCAGAAAGTATGAACTATCACTGGGTCTCTCATCACATTCTAAGCCTCCTGATTTTGAACTGTGCTCTCTAACAATATTTATAAGGAATTAAAGTATCTCATACTCCCATGATTTCCTTTCATATACAAAATAAAGATAATTTTAAAAGTATCTTTTAAAGATATTAAAAGTCAACCTATTCCATGCTTTTTCAGAGTAATTTCCTATAACCTTATTAATCTTATTTTTTCAACTTGAGGACTTGAACTCAATTTTATTCCAGAGATATAATACATTGTAATGATGAGGTTGTAATAAAGTTCTAAGATAAAAGCAATATTCCTGTTAGAATGACTGGTTTATTCAAGTGGGACAAACACATGTAAATTACCTAGAAGAATATACTATTATATTAACTATGCCAAACTAAAGAGTTCACTTCTCACTTATTATTATATAACTGGTTATTAAACTAACGTGATATTTATGTTTGACTTACATTCAAATAAAAGTGAAAGCACAATTTTTCTCCTAAACTGTACTAAAAATACTAGTTAGCAGAACAAAATTACATTTTATAGTTATCTCTCCAAATCAAGCATTTGCCTATCTTTTAAATCATCAGGACTTCCTAAATATGATTCAAAATCTAGAAACCCTAAAAGAAAAGAATTCAATCACATTATAAGAAAAAAAAAAAAAAAGCAGGCTGGGTTTGGTAGCTGACGCCTGTAATCCTAGCACTTTGGGAGGATCGCTTTAGGCCAGGAGTTTGAGACCAGCCTGGGCAACACAGCGAGAGCCCATCTCTACAAAAATTTAAAAAATTAGCCAGGTGTGGTGGCACACACCTGTAGTCCCAGCTACTCAAGAGGCGGAGCCAGGAAGATCACTTGAGCTCAGGAGTTTGAGGTTGCAGTGAGCTATGATCATGCCACTGCATTCTGGCCCCAGGAGACAAAGTGAGACTCTGTCTCCAGAAAAAAAAAAAAACGGAAATAAAAACAAACAAACAAACAAACAAAAAGGAAAAAGCACACGAAAACCCATACGGCAAACACTGGAAGTCAAAAGTTGACAATACACTGGAAAAAAATGTTTGCAAGCGAATCATAAAGGGCAACTTTCCCTAAGGGTTCTGATAGAAAAGGGGGAAAAATCCAACAGTCCAACGGGTCAATGTGTAAAGAACGCCAACAGTACACAGAAAGGAAACACAGATGGATCTTTACATAAAAAAAGATGCTCAATCTCACTCATGATAACAAATATGCAAATTGAAACTACTATGAGATGCCATTTTAAAAATTTACACACAAAAATCTGAAGTTTGATTTTCATAAGGATATGGGAAAACAGGCACTCTCATACTATGCAAGTGGAATGTAAAATAACACAACTTCAATGGAGGGCAATTTGGCAATAATCATCAAAATTAAAAATGCATTAATTCTATTGCCCAACATTTCTATTTCTCAGAAATTTTCTACTGATATAATTGCACATATACTAAATCACATATGTACAAGGCTACTCACTTTAGCATTACTTGTAATAGCAAAAGACTGGAAACAACTGGCTGCCACCAAAGGACTAAATTATGGTTTAATCCATAAAATGAAATACTATATAGTTATAAAATATAAAAGCATGTTTTATGTACTGATATGGAAACAGCTCATAAATGTATTGCTAAAAAAAGTAGGGTGTGGGTATTGTACTATCATTTATGTAAAATGGGGTGACTGAAATAAGAATATATGTATTTACAAATGACAACAAAAAGCACAAAAGGATACACAAAAAACTAGTAACAAAGCTTGTCTGAATGTGGAGGAAAGATGGTGGTAGCGCTTAGGAACTAGATGGGTGAGGGACAAAAAGAAGAAAGGAAACTTTTGGCTGTACATTTTTCATTTTCCAGCTATTAATATTTGGAGGTATTACCTATTTTTTAAGCACATAAATAAATAAATCAGGTACAATCTAACTCAAAACAAAAATGGCAGTATCTTTTCTGAAATATTTTTTATCCAAATGGAAAACTAAAGATTATGTTGACATCTGTATGACTAGGAAAAAATTCTTTAATATTTGGAATTTAGTCCTTCACTCAATCTTATAAAATTTCACTTCTAGTCATGATGGAATACCAGTGATCAGGTTGACCCCACTACCTTAACAACTGGAAGGTCAGACAAATATATGAAATAATGGTTTTCAGACCCTGGACAACAGGCAGATGGCAGATTAACCCCTGCAAGAAGGGAAACAAACACAGTAAGTCCAAGAGTTTCACAGCTCACTGCTGGGAAAGTTTTTAGGCCATGACATGGGGAGAGACCACTTGAAGAGCCCAGCAGACTTGCTGAATTGAGGAAACAGCATTTAGAATTCAGGGAGGTCAATGTGGCTATAATTTGCATGGTAAAATTCCACAGTAATTTTGGTAAAACACCATGGTAAATTTACCATGCAAATTCTATGGGGAGGAGGAGGCTGCACAGAAAAGCACCAGGTATCTGCAGAGGGGTTCCCTTGAGTCTCTGACTGCGTATCACACATGCATGTGAGGAAATTACCCCAGATTAGAGAAAGAACTACCCAAGTAAAATGCAGAACAGCAATAGCACAAAGGGTGGGAGGAAGAAATGTAAGAATCCTGTTGTAAGATTCTTATATGTAAAGCGGTATATAATGCCATTTGAAGGTAGGTTAAGTTAAAGATGTGTTTTATAAACCCCAGAACAACCACTAACAAAAACAAAACAAAGAGGTATAGCTAATAAACCAATCAAGGAGATGAAGATATAGTCATAAGAAAGGCAAGAAAAGATAAGAAAAGGAACCAAAACCAGATAGGATAAAAGAAAACAAAGAGCAAGGTGGCAAGTTTAAACCCTGTCTTATAAAAAAAAAAATCACATTAAACATAAGTGGTCTAAATAGTCCAATTAAAAAAGATCATCAGATTCGATTAAAAGAAAGACCCCACTATATGCTATCTGTAAGAAATCCACTTTAAATATAAACATAGAGATATGTTAAAAACTAATAAAAAGAAAAGGATATATCATCCAAACAATCAAAAAGAGCTTAAGTGGTTATATCAACATCAGATAAACTAAATTTCAGAAAATGGACTATATTACCAACGATAAAGAGGGGCATTTCATAATGTAAAAGGGGTTAATTCTTCAGGAAGACATGGCAATCCTAAATGTGTATGTACCTATTAACATAGCCTCAAAACTTGTAAAGCAAAATTTGATAGAACTGAAAGGATAAACAAATCCACAATTGGTAGATTTCAATACTTCTCTCTCAGTAGCTGATAGAACAGATGATAAGAGAAAGTCAGTAAACAAAGAATACTTGAACAATGCTATCAACCAACTTGACCTACGTGACATTTACAGTACACTCCACCCAATAAAAACAGAATACACACTCCATCTGACAAAATAACAATGGTAATAACTTACATATAGTGAATGCCTATTACGTGCCAAGCACTTTTACTATGCAATTTTGTATAATCTTCACAAGTCTGTCAGGTAGTACTTTTGTGATTTTTACAAATGAGGAAGCTGAGGTTTGAAGACATTAAGTAACTTGAATAATACTGCAGTAATTTATTTAGCAAAGCTGGAAACTGAACCCAGGTCTGCATGCATTAACTCTAAAGACTGAGCTCTTAATTATGCTACAACTGCCTCCACACATCAAGGATAGGACTGAAAACTTTTCAAAGGAACACTAATCCCTCAGACTTTGGAGGTCTGTAAGCCTGTCAGCGCCAGGAAAACCCTAACCGTTCCCTTTATTGCTTTGCTTGTGTACACTCCCTCCCACAAATATTTTTTGAAAAGATACTTTTGATTTTAAAAAACAAATCTTCTTTTAAAATGTAAATAAAGATTAATTCTATTAGCTAGTTACGAACTACCATAAGTTACTAAGATCAATGCATGGTTGGTTTTCTCCAAACTTCCTAAAAATCAACCCCTACTAAGAGAACAGAAGTTGGGCTTAGAGAGTGGAAAGTTAGACACAGTTCAGGTGTTTGGTACTCAGGAAGGGTGAGTTAGTTTTCAAATGAGTATTCAATGGGTAAGATGAAAAAGTAAAGAAGAAAGATGGAAAAGAACAACTTCACCCACATTAGTTATAGTTTTGGCAAGGGCCCAAATGGCAACTGCTTGCTCTTCAATTTAAAATCACTTTGTGTTTACAGAAACAAAGCTTGTATTTCAAGTATAGCCAGTCAACCGTGACTATCAAGCTTCCCATTCCTCAATCTAAACACTCAATTTAAAAAATTATCTCAGCAGAACAAAA